AAAAAAACAGTAAATTTACCATTCTGAGAATAGGAATTACGTTAACAACCACAATCAATTTGGATAGAAAAAACTTGCACAAAAATATTCGCCACTGAGGGCGATATTGTAATTTCGTCCGATAGTCTATCACGAGTCAATAATCACTTGTCCATGTGCGTTCCCCTTTCTCAGTTAAAAGCAATGTTATTGAAATCTGTAACCTTTATTTAGTGCCTATAACTGAAAACTCGAAACATCTACAAGAACGCTTTTATTTTCTTAAATGCGAATATGATAAATAAATAAAATCGTTCTTGAAACATTGAAACAAATCGCTATTGCAATAGAGGAACCGGCTCTTTGACACAAAACAGATGAGGAAAAAAAAGAAAACTTGTCTGTATCGATTGTCGCATTTTAATTGTTTCCGAAGATGTATGGGTCTACATGTGGCACATCTACTATATAATCTCTGTCAGTATTTAATTTGAGCAAAAATAATTTTTGATTTTATTGGTAATTTACCAAGTTCATCTTTCAAACCACTAATTGGCGTCATTGTACTCACTCCTAGGATAAACCTGTAAAAATCACTGCAAACTTGCTCTAAACTGTTACTGTCAGTTGTGATTCAATTGACCCAGATTTCAGCACCATAGTATAGGTGAAATTAACTGGTCAAAAAGTGCTGGTGAGATTATTTTATGGTTTAAGACTGTTTGTCTTGTGCTGCAAAGAGCCTCCATTGATTTATTTTTTAACATAGATAAGTTTGTTTTATAGTTTCCATTTGGAGTAAATATTACCCCTAAATAGCAAAATTCACTAACAGCTGTTAAGTCTTGGTTGTTGATTTTAAAATTCATGTTTTTAATCCGTCAGTTATTGCAATTGCAATAGTTTAATTTGTTTGACGTTTACTTCTAAATTCCAATTTATACAATAGTCATTTAATTTGTTCAGACAGCTGTAAAAATGATTCTTAAACAACTAACAACAACTGAACCCAGAGAGAATTGTGAAGACAGCTAAGCTCAAGTTTTCTGACAGAGAACTTGTGAATGGCATACAATTTGTAGGAAAAAAGAAAAAAATTAAATCTAAATATTTGATTATGGATGAAGGAAATATTTATAGAAGGTAAAAATACATGATTAATTTGTGTTGGAATAAAAGCAAGAACAATATACCTCAAATATTCTGTATTTATTATTAGGAACGGCCCTTATTGTCGAGTGATATTGTGACATTGCCGGAATTTTCTACGGTATATCAAACTAAGCTTATCGTCGACTTGGCTGTCATTACTGTCGGCAATCTTGGCTACATTACTTCCGGTAAATGATTTCTCGTGTGTGAGTGTACTCATACTCCCTGCTGCTGCTCGCTCGTCGTTGTCACTTTTAAAAAGTTTAGCTTTTCTCATTATTTCACGTTGAAGCGATGAAAGTCAGCAAAGTCATGTGGGTGTTGTTATTATTTGTGCTTATAACGACTTGTTTTTGCTACCAACTTCAGTCACCCTTTTCGGGGCATCCGATGTTGTATTTTGGGTCGGAGGATGTGGCAAATCTACGTCGCAAAGCTGTAACAACTCACAGGCACATCGCTGCGGTGTTATCCGACGCAGCAAACAGTATGTTAGAAAAACCTGATTACTATTTACCTTCAACCGATTACGACGTGTTTGCAGCCCGTTGGAATGAAGTTTACGGCAATAATCTGTGCGCATTGGCATTCTACTGTGTGTTGTTCCCAGACGACGTCAAGGCCAGGAAACTTGCCATACAGTTCATGGACAATTTAGTGGAGTTGCCGCAATGGCAGGTAAAGGAAATACCAAAAGACGAAGTGCCCGTAGCACACACTTTTATCGGGTTAACAACAGCTTTTGATTTTCTACATGAGTACTTAGACGAAGGAAGGCATGAAAGAATGCTTAATCGAATCAAGCAAGAAACCAAAGAGTTTGACAGGTTTGCCAGGATCAGATCTTGGGGAAAATTTTACCTACAGAATCACGTTGCCACGAATTATTTAGCTTTAATCCATGGCTGTTTAGTAGTTCAACAATATGACGACGCCGCCGATAAATGGATGCAAGAGGCTGTGACTAAATTTGAACGTACAATGTTTTTACTTAATTTTATTGTAGACGGTTCTCTAGACGAAGGAGTTGCGTATGGTACGTACACTTCAAGATCTCTCACTCAGTATGCTTTTCTTTCATTGAGACATTGGAATATTGATCATACTAAAGACTTCTGGTTCCAGCAACATTTCTGGTTCTTTTATAACACAATGTTGCCAGGATTTCAAAGGAACGTTGCCATTGCCGACAGTAACCATAACTGGTTTTACGGCCCTGAAAGCCAGTTAGTGTTTCTAGATGCTTTTATCATGAGGAATGGCTATGGTAATTGGTTAGCCAATGAAATTCGCCAGCATCGCCCAACAGTCAAGGAACTGAAACACATCTCCGCCTCAAGTTCACAAAAATGGTGTACCATTCACACTGAGTTTTTGTGGTACGATGCAAGCATAAAACCTAAACCGCCACCAGAATATGAAAATGGCAATCTACATACTTTTACAGACTGGGGGGTGGTAACATATAGCAAAATTAGTTCACAAGATGACAAGGAAACATTTTTGGCATTTAAGTCTGCCAAAATCCATGGAAGAGCCATATTTGATATTGTTAACAGTGATAGATACAAGTCGTGGATTAACGGCTGGAGTAGTTTTAATCCAGGACATGAACATCCAGATCAAAACATGTTTATATTTGCTCCAAACGGACAGCTCTTCATATCAGATGCATTGTATGGGCCGAAATACACTTTTCTAAATAATGTATTAACGTTTGGTCCATCCGAATTGAGTGAATGCTTTGAGCCTTGGATTGGACAGCTGGGAGAATGTTCCAAGTGGCTACAGTGGAAGAAACCTGAAGTCGGCAAATCTAATGGGGAAGTCATCACGGCAACAAAAGTGGATGAAATGGTACATATGAGCGGGGAAGCCAAAAATGCATACCACAGTGATTTAGGTTTGCAAAGTGTTTACCGTAATTTAATATTACTAAACTCGAAATCTACTTGTTGTTAATGACCATATTGCAGTTACTTCTCTCAGTTCAGTCAAACATGTCAGTGCTTTCTTCCACAATACGGATGTACCATTTCAAAGCGACTCTTTTGGGGAGAAAGCTCAAGGAGCTAAAATTACTGTTAATGGGGAAGACTACCAGATGTTCTGGATGAAGTATGGTGGTGAGAGCCCAAGGGCCAGAATTCAGTCGCATGATTACAAGTCTCAATTCCAACCGATAAAAACAAATTTTGTGAACGTAACCTTTGACCTCTCTGAACCACAAACAC